TTAGTTTTAAAGAAGACGAATAAGATTTTGTGAAGACGTTAAGAGTTTTGATTTAAGATGGATTTATACGGATTACACTTCCACTGAGCCCGATTTACAAATCTTTAAGACATTCTGAAATATCCGTCAGATTATTAAGGTGGATTGATTTTTTACAATACACTCAACATTTTAGAATAATATGATTAAGTATTTTAAAATGCTTTTATTTATAAATCTTCTTATATATTTTTATATATTATAATAACACGCAATATAAAAATACATAACTTTCTGTGAATACTTGATGGTAAATTTAAATATAAGGTTTAATTTAAAGGTAGGGCCGGGTTAATATTTGAATTACCTCTAGCAATATCATTTCAAATTGGTTTTCTTTTTGATTGTCTGAACTGGGATTATTTTATGAAGATATGTTATATATTTATTTTATTTTAAGTATGTATATAGTATACGTATAATTCATATCTTAGTTTAAATACGTATTTTTTTTAAATTTATTTGCACAAAACAAATAATTACATAGTTCAAGTTTAACGATATTTTTTTACAAAATTTTTTAATAGTTCTCCACGCTGATATTTTTAAAAGAGTTTTGCTCAAAGTCAGTAATATTTAATTAGCAGTACATCGAAGAGAAATTATTTAATTTTTTAAGTATTTGAAAGAATAACTTCATATATCAGAAAAAATTGGTGATTTATAATTATGTATTATGTTTTAAGGGTAGTTTTATATTTGGCATTGTCATATCTGCGATAGCTCCGTTATGAAGCATATATTATAAATTTAAAATATAAAAACACTTAAACTATCTATTATTAATAATAATATAAGTGAATAAACCTTTTTTTGATGAAACATCAATTTAATTCCAAGAGCGTATTCACTTTTGTGGAACCCTTGTCAGTTATTTATACTTGGGTATAGCGATGAAAGCGGGATAAGGTATAATTCTCTCTTTGTCATGTTCTTTAGCGTATAAGCGAATATTTACACGTATACTCCGTATTTCTTTGCTCGGTAAAAAGGCGTCCGCTTTATTATTATTACGGGTTTGAATACTATTTTGTGGAGTTATATTAATTCTGTTTGTGTGTCATGTACAGCAAAAACTGTATCCGTTCGTAAAATTTGGTATCGGACGTATATAGTCCGATAAATATGGGCTTATTGGCTTAGGCGCTTAAAATTTTTGATGACCACTTTAAAACAGTCCCTTATATTCCTTATACATAATAATCACTTGATAGACGGCACTGCTCACTCAAAATCTTGTGTATAAATCTATGAAAAATTATGAGACCATCAAAAATCTCTTTCATCTGATGTACCGTAATAAACAGTGAACATTTTTACATAAATCACTTATAATACAACACCCACTCGTTTGACACTATCTATTCTTGTAAAAGTTTGTATATTGACTAAAATAAAAGTGGATATGAAAAGTTACGTACGTGACGCACATACCATAATGATATTGATATTTATCACTTGTATGGAACTTTATATTATATTGTAACGAAATTTAAATAAAGAAAAATAACTGCCTTCCTCTAATAACAGTAAAATAATATTAATAAATATTTGTCGTAATTTACAATACATTTTAAGAGTAATTGTAAGCAATTCTTTGAATTGTTGGAGACAATTTCCCTTCATATCTTATCTTCGTACAATCCTAATTATATTTATATGGCACAAATTTTATAACAAAGTAATTTGAATGGAAAAGGAATGAAAGAATTTGATTTACAAACAAAATTATATTCCAACTCATATAAAGAAAATATACAATTCGATTGAAAAATTGTTCCTATTTTGGAATAAAATTAAAAATTCTTCAAATTAATAATTCTCAAATATTTGTTCTACGTTTCGTTTTCAAACTCCGAATGTTCCCGTATTAATGACTTTTTATGTATTACTTTAATAAACCCTTCCTTATTTACAGTAGAAAAAGTTAAAATTATTAAAAATGAAATTAAAAGCAGCTTTTATGATGCTGTATAAACTTAATGTCAGAATTTATTTCATGAAAATCCGTATAAATGTTGAATACTCCCAATAAATGTAATTCATAACAAGGAATTGAAACATTTTGAAATCAACATTGATTGGAAGTTTCTGGAACTATAAGTAATTTTCATTTACTGTCCTGTTTTGGAATAGTGAGATTTATGAACTAACATCTATTTCGGTAAGAACATCAAAGCACGGTAAGTAGTTTAACTAACTATTTTCAGGTTAACCATTGTCGAATTACCGTTGGTTGGGTTACGTTATAATAAATTGTATAATAGAATGTAAAAGTATTCATTTTACGATATTCTATAAGCCTTGTTACGTAGAATACTCTAAACAATAAACGAGAGCCAAAAATAACCGTTTGCTATGTTGCACAAAAACCGATTATTTTGATATTTTCCATACAGAAATCTACATCGAGATTGTAATTTACGAAGTTTTTTAAACAAATAAATTTAAAACGTCAACGTTTGTAGAGTATTGATTAAAATACTATAGAAATAACAAAATTAAATCCGATAAGATTTTATTAAGTTAATTTTGCTTTCAAAATAAAGGCAAATACATATAGGATAACAATATTTTTAAAAATAAGGTTCTATATTCAAGGTCTAATTCTTTTTCTTCATGGTTTTTCATTAAAGTGATCAGGTTTAAAACGTTTTCTCAATCATCTGTATTATGAAATAAATTGTTGCTTAGGCCCTTTTTCTAAATAATTAAAAGACAAAAAAGTTGCGAACCCATTTGTGTAAAAGAGTAAAATGAAAAAGTATATTAAAGTTCACAAACCATACTCAATGTAAATTCATAACATCTTTCACAAAGTAGGCAAGTTGAGAGCTCATGTAAGGGGATACTTAAGGAATTACGAGGTTGGTTCTGAGGCACTCACGAATGATAGACTTTTATCATTTATGATAGTCACTATATGAGGCAACCCTCATTACAATAGTTTATAACAGATATTAAAGAAGAAGTTCTTGAATTACACCATTATGGTGTATTTAGAAATTTATGAATGTTATTTTCTTATTAACTTCGAATCTGATTTTGATTTGGAATTAATTAAGTTTGAAAATTTATAAAGATTATAATGAATTCAAAAATAGTTACATAATTTAATTTCATATTTATTTATATCACTTATCTAACCAAGATGAATGAAATGTTTTTGTGAATAAAATGGTTTAACCATTTTACAGCTAGAACCGAATGAATACATTGCAATTAACACCATAACCATCTTTTTTTAGTCTTTGCACAACTGCATGTCAAGAATTTGTTATAAAACTTGCAGTTAACATGAAAAACAATTAAAAAAATCATATTCCTAAGACAATCTAATTATATTTGAAATTAGTATTACAGATTTAATTTTGTTACTTCTAGAAGTTGTTGAATCTAAAACTAGATGAAAAAATACGCATCAAGTCTCTTAGAACTTCAAAAAAATCAGTCGAGTTAATTTTATATGATTTTATAAGCACCAAGAGAGCTTTTTAAAAATCATAATCCCCTAGAAAGATAAAAAAACATAGCACTGCCTTAGAATACGTGATTGTTTTCCCAAAGGATTTATATTCTTGACATTTATTCGAGCCCACGGTCGTTGAGGGTAAAAGCTAACAATTATGAGGGTAAAGAAATCTGATTATCCTTCAAGCTTACAAGAATAAAACGTCCACATAAATGTGTTTCACTCTAGCTACTAAGTGCTAAACTGATGTAGAAAATTAGGTCAAAACGCCGTTTAATAAGTGACATCGTTTACGCCTAAGGGATTTCCAAAAAGAATTACTCTTTTGAGGTTAAAATAATGTTCGCAAAAGGTTTAAATTCAAGAGATATTCACACAATTGTTGATTAATGAAACTTGGATGTATTTTTATAAAAATAGTCCATGTTTTTGATCGTTTACAAGTGAAATGATTTCTAGATTTATATTGAAAAAAATTGTATTCAAGAGTATGTTTACATAATATATTTATATAAATAAATCTTCCATTCTAGTAAATTTGAGATTCTCGAATCTTTATAAGTTAACACAAAAGAACAAAACAGAATTTTCACTGGTTTTGAATTGAGGAGTACATTTTTTTTATTAGTTGTTTGTATATTTTTAGTTTATATTATAATAAAATAGAAGGTTTCGTATATAAAAGTGACGTTTTTTTATTATTATTTGTGAATATTAAGAACCAAAACCAACAAGTAACAAGATAATTTTTGAAAAACAAATTTCTATCGTTTGCCTAGTTAATAGTAATACTGTTCATTTATTAATGCAACTGCTTTTTAATGGAATAAAATTTTAACACAATCTTGAAATAACTATTGAGTAAAGGTACTGAGAAAGTTTATTAAAAGAGAAAGGATATTGGTAAAGAACACAAACAAAACAACTATATATTAGAAATTAATTTATAAAAGTTTAAATAGCTATAGTTGTAATAATATATTTCATAAAAAAATTGACTCGGTTATTTTGGATGTGTATTTAAATGAAGCTGATATAAATGTTTTTGTTTACAATATATAATGTATACATTAATGTTAGCTCTATAAAGCTGAGAGTATCTCACATTGTTCTCGAGCGCCCTAATTTGCCTTTTCGTCCCGCGCTTAAAAGCATTTTTATGCGTAATAAAACGTTTGCTATCATTACTGATAAATAAAACGATCATGAATTTTTTAAATAATGATGATTTCTCGTGCGAAAATTATAAAATCTTCGATATACGACATGAGAATTCATTAAAAAAAAAAACTAATATATCACGAAAAATATGTGTTAAATTCCCTGGTATAAATTATAAATATTATTAATGTAAAAGAATTTAATAAGAAAATGTTTCAAACTACGACATACACCGATGGATGGCTGATTAGGTAAAAGCGCATGCATACACCGAAATATGAGAATAATAATTGCGCTCGACCATTGCACTTGGAATTAAAATTTTGTAATGTGCTTCGCGCAATTAGTATCCACTTGGGGGAGGGAGGGGGTCGGTAGTGGAGTGGGGGTAAATTTACGTGCGTGCGTGTCGTACCGACGGGTGCGTGTGCGTGCGCGGCGCAGCGTGCACTCGGGACGGCGGTCGGAGATAAACTGCGCGGGACACAGCCTCAGCATTCCCCCTCCCCCCGGACGGAGCCCCGCACCCCGCAACCCCCCATAACCCCTCCGCCCTTACTCAAAGTTAACTTCTAGCTGCATCCAGGATAACGTCACTGTGACGTACTCGGATGTCTAAATAACGTTACATTATACAAAAACCTACAAATATATTGTAGGAAAATTTGTACGTTCTAAATATAATGAAATAAAAATAGCAATACAAATGAATTCATTGTAGACAATAAATAGAGGCACGTAAAAGTGAAATCCTTAATGCTTTTTGAGGATAGTAAAATATGTAATAAAAACGTGGCTCGGATGTCTCATGAGAAGGCTTTGGGGGAAAAATGTTTATTAATAAGAGCCACCCAATGTTACGACCGCTCCTTACGGTATTAGGCGCCTGACAAAGATTTTCTTTTATTTTTTTTTTGATAGGAATCTGTTAAGTCAGCGAAAGTGATAATCCACAAAGGGTATACATCTTTATTTTGTTATTATTTTTTATCTTGTTTCATTGGACTGCACTTATAAATGATATGTGTATAAATTTCAATATAAAGTAAAAGTATTTATATAATAATGGCAAAATCTCGACGTTAAACCAATTTATTTTATAAAAACCAAATATATATTATCAGGAGTTTCTTTATGTATAGTTAAGTCAAAATTTGTATTGATTTCTAAAGCTGTATTCATTAATTGCGACTTATTAGACTTATAACAAAATTGTACTTTAGTTTTGATAAATTATATTAATATTGGTTAGACTTATTGTAAATAGAATATATTAATTCTTATTCGTAAATTTAATATTAAAAGCGAATAACCAATAATAGAAGAATTAAAATATAATGTTTATATTAAATAAATAGAATACATTATGTATGAATAATTTTGTTAGAAAAAATTTCGTGACAAAATAACTCAGCGTTAAAACAAGTGGCTCATTAAGTCTTATCAAGCTTCAAATAAGTCAGCTACCTTTACTGTATCTTTTTCATAAATTTATTATAATTTCAAAAGGGACTTTGGTGAAAATAAAAAGGACACTCAAAAGAAAAAATACGAATGCGTAACTAATTATTTGCTTGCTATATTTTAAGTATTGTTTAGAATTAATTTTAGTTATATGTATATAAATAATTTAATTAAGCGTAAGTAAATTTACTTATTTACTGAGTTGCTGTTTCTATGTTATAATTTGGTTAATTAACAATAACATAATAATAATAATCATTAATGAGTGATTGTTATGTTATAGTTAACATTAGTTATATATTTAAAATTTCAATGCTATTCAATTTCATTATGTTGTTAATAAAAAAATATATATTAATGCATAATAAAGATACGTCAGAAGCATTCATACAATCGTTTTATAAAAAAAGATATCAAAATGACCAAAATTCTGTCAAGTCACGTTCACTACATCAAATTACAGAGGCTTCGGGCGCAGGTTGTATCTGAACCTGGATGACACAAAGCTGCGCAGGTCTTCAATATCGAACGGAGCAACCGTACATACTACATCATACACTATTTAAAATCTACTAAACGGACATTAAATTAAGTTTTAACGTATACTTAGAATTTAACGAGAACTCAACATTCATCAAGTTGATGAAATGTTCATTATTAATATATTTAAATACATAAATACACATAAAATAACTTTTATTGGCAAAAATCTGAATGAAGTTTATATTTATTTGGTGTATTTTTTTCGTAAGTAAAACAAACGCCTACGTCCGTAGCCGCTACGAGCTACGAGCTGCTACGACCTGTTGAACGCGTAGTAAAACGCTACACTTCTGAAATCTCTTGAGGGTTTCATTTGAGAATCTTCGATACGAATTATTGACATTTATTTGGTGATTTCAGGAAGCCACTATAGAAACTTTTTGTTAGAAATATTTAATTAAAAGTTACCAAAGTATATTGGTTGGGTTGGGTTCGATAATCTCAACTTTGGCAGCCATTACAAAATCGTTAAATCCGTACCACTAAGTTAATTAACCCTTAATATAACATTATTCTTATATACATATATTTAAATAGAAACTCATAAGTTCTGTAATAATTATAATATAGTATATATAACTTTTAATACTGTAAAAACTATTGTCTTTGTTTAAAGAAAAATATATAAATTAAATTAATATTAAAATATCTGTCTGTTTATATTATTTGTTGAAGATTTTGTTTTCATTTAATTTAAATTTATTATTGCGGACGAAGGCAAGAAAATAAAAAAATGAAATGGTCTTGCTACGGACGGCCTCCAGAATAATATTGCTTTTATTTGAGTAATAAGAATAAACTTTTATGATATTCTTATCTATGCAGTGATTCTGAATTTATTTTGTTCTTTGTACAACACTATATATATATGTATATACAGATATTTCATTTAAATTAGGATTAAAGTATTTTTATTATTTTTCAATATATCTTATTTATGTAAATATGTATATTATTTCATTACACGAACTGTAATTACTGTGGGTTCGAGCAATGCAAACTATTGGAAATTTGCAGACTTTCATTAAATATTTGTTTCCTGAACTACAAAGTACTTTTTATACAATATAACACTGTTCATTGAATCGTTATATTGATATAACTATTAGTTGAGTAATAAAGTCAAAAGTAACGAAAAATAAATAGTCAATACCAGCTGTCGTTGATGGATATATTAATATCAGTATAATAGTAAAGATTTTCATGAGTAAAACAATGGTTTATTGCCTGCATGATCACAGGTCACGATTACTGCAAAGAACTCCAGACATCGAGAAAATCTTTAAATCATTAAAATATCGAAGTGTAATAAGAAAACCAGAGTTTTATTTCAAATTCAAATAAATACATGAATTCGTAAACTTTGCTCACAATATCAACTATTTAAAAGAATTGATTAACTTTAAATTGTGCGCATGAATATGAAAAATGTTTCTTACTTAAAACAGTGTCACTTTCAATAAAGATTACATCATCGTTATAAGAAAAAGTATATTTTTTATGGAGTCTAGTTAAAACAGACAGCAAACGGGGCTGAAACAAATTTGAAGGTAATGAGATTGGGGAAGGTTTGATAATGAAATCCTTGAAAAATCTGAAATTAGGTGTATTTCTGTTTACTCACTTAAAATTATTACTGAAATGTGTTTTTAAATTTCTATAAAATGTGTATTTTTGCTTGGTAAGATTTGTTAAAATTCATATTGACAAGATTGGATAAAGAGTAACAACTTTAAATGATGGTTTCGTAGTTATAATTAAAAATCATGTAAATCCAGAAACTGAGTAGCCTATTATATAAAATAGGACTTATACTGATCAATTCCATATATTAAATGCTGACAAACATCGTACGGTAAATATTTATTTCAAATTACTTATTCTATATTCACAATGTGCACTAGAAAGAATGTTAATCCTCTTTAATTTAATGGGATGAAAAAGAGGATGACTATTTTCAAAACTGATTTTTAATACATAAGGAATGGATATCTTTAGTTTCATTTAACCTTACAGAAAGGCGCCAAGTCAGAAATACAACGCGACCTGTTGCGTTCCTTCGTTGAATGATAATGTTAATTTTGATTCGAATATACAATCTAAAATGTTTCTCTAGTTTCTTTTACACAATAATAAATGAATGTTATGTTTGAGTAAATTACTAGTAAGCAGTTTTATATTTTAAATCGCTTACAAATAATATACGTAGTAACAATTCTCTTGCAAGTTTTAACCACAGCTAGATCGCATTTTTAAGAAAAATAGTGTATATTTTATATAATGTTTGAAAAATTTAAGAAAAAATTACCAATTACCTGTAAACAGAACATATTGTGTTGCACTTAAATTTTAAATAATATAATTAATTAATAAAAACAATAACGAATTAAACTATTTAAGAAAATAATGAATAATCCTTTTCATTTGTGACATTAAAATAATTATTAATTTCCAGGATATTATACCTTATTAATAAAGCGTCAGAGAAATAGGCTTCGTATTTTATACGATTGTTTTCATTTATAATTCCATTATTACAAGAAATTACCTAATTTCATTTCAACGGCTACAAAGCTTAAATGGAAAATGTTAAAATAAAAGTTATGATACCTTGGGAAAACGTATTTCAAGAGTAGAAAGCGTTGCTAAGCACTATTCTCATTCAGGTTTCTCTTAACGGTTGCTTGAAAAGATTTAACTTGGATTAAATCAAACAATACGAGATTTTGATACATTTTATATTCATCACAATGCCGCTCCGCTCTGTGTGAGTTGAAATGTTTAAACCCTTTAAATAAATATAGCATTTTTGAAAAAGTTTTAATATTGAAGGAATTTATACATATATAGAAAGAATATAATATAAGTCAGTGGTGGCGTTGTAGTTAAAAGGCCCGCCTCTCATGCATGACGGCGCGGGTTCGACCCCGGCAAGTACCAATGTGATTTTTCCGAGTCATATGTACTTTTTAAGAGTATTTAGACATCACTGATTAATGCATTCCCAAAGAGGGTTGATGTCAGGCAGGCGGTCGGTCATAAGAACAATTAGCCAAAACTATTCACAACACGTAAGGCAGACCCTGGCTAAAGCTGGGAAATTGCCAGGTAGAAGAAGAAATAATATAATATAGATATAGAAGTTGGCTAGTTAGATAAAATTACGTAGCCTAAGCGGTGACCGCCCAAGGGCAGGGACTACATTAATTTCGAAAGTAAAACACAGTCAGCTTCTAAAATAACTTATATTTTAAATTACATAGTTATACAGTTTAATAAATAATCCAAATATGATTATATGCTACATAAGATATAGTCTGGTTTTTTACTGAACAATGAAAAAAATACAAAAAAATCTATGCATATATTATAAGGCGATAATTTTGATGAAATAAAATTGAAACAAACTGAATATTAGGTCGTAAAAATAATATGTACTTAATTAAGTATTAATAAATGTACGAAGTCTTTTAGAATTAAAGATGAGCTGATCCTCGTAAATCTTGATTACATCTTTTGTTCAGCTAAGGTTAATAC